GCGACTCCTGCAAGCTACTGAAGCTCCGAGGCTGCAGGAACGTTGCCCTGAAGAGCGCCCCAAACACAGCGCTCTACACGTGGCTGTGTCAAGGCGCTGCATTGCCGGGACCTGGCCGACCTACCGGACACAAAATGGAGAGATTATTTCTCTCCACTCATTGCGGCCGCCCCTCAGTGGAAACAAATGTACAAGTCTCCCATAGCCAAATGCTGCGGTGACCTCCAATGGAGGTTGGCACACTGCACGTTGCCATCGGCCGTGTGGCTCAGCCGAATCTCGCCAGGGGTAACAGACTTGGTGCATTTCCTGCGGTGCCAGGGAGGATCTGCCCCACTAGTACTTACGCTGCCAGTGGCTCAAACCAATGTTCTGCCTTTTGGGGGACACCTTCAGGAAACTGGGGGTACCCTTCTACAACAGCAGCTTCGTGTATGGGGTGCCTTACCTGGCTAACAAGCGCCACGACCTCGTCAACTTCGCCTGTGCTCAGGCTAAGATGGCGGTGTACAGAACGAGGAAGAAGATGCTGGAAGGTGACACTGACGGCTGCTCTGTGCTTCCAGTGTTCAGGGGCCTGCTTAAGGCGCGGCTCCGGCTGGAGCACGTGTACCACACACATGTCGGTGATGTGCACGTCTTTTTCGAACGCTGGGGAGCTGGAAAAGCCCTATGTACCGGCGTGGACGGCACCCCACGTGTTCACCTTCTGAAGAGCTCGCTCGTCACCGTGGCGTGCGCGATGACCACCACCACCACGTGACTTTTCTTTCGTGTTGTGCACGCTGCATTTAGCGCCATAGCACGTGGATTTATAGCGTTTATTCGTTTGTTTGCTGATGACTTTGTGTATTTCATATCGGAATCGCCTCCAGTGCTGTTGCTGCTGGCGGCAATGAAAGTTATTTAAAAGTCAAAGTCTTTTCCAGATTAAACACTTATTATTCACTCTGTCTCTCTTCCAGCTTCAACTCTTATTGTTCACTCCGTCTCTCTTGCCTCTCTGTGTACGTGCCATGAAGAAGTGTTCATTTCCAAAATGTCCCTTATACACTGTATGTCATTTCTATTAAGACCACAGTGTTATTGACAAATGTTGTTGTCAAGATAATGCCTCTGAATGCAATATACATTTACACGGTAGCTTTTTTTGTATATAGATGATGTATTTTGAGATTATTTCTCACCGTATATAGCATGGTGTGTGTTTATATATAAATCAATATTTGTTTTGAGGTTTGACCACTTAGTAGTTTCATGCAAAAATGCGTATCATTAGTCCTCCAACACTGTTTAAATTTGTCACGTTTATAAATATATTACATATATACGTGCAAGTGTATTGATCAAACTCTAATAGGCTCCTCACTGGTGGCATACGATCTTCAATGACTGAATGTAACCTCAAACATTGTTAATCTTATTCTTGGTTCTTTCGGTAAAGTCACGTAGAAGGGAAACAATAAAATAATAAAAATAATAAATTCTCACGACGTTTCGACTGCAACACAAGCAATCATCATCTGGTGTGAAAACCACAGCAAGAAAATTTGAAATTGAAAATTGCTGTGGTTTTCACACCTGATGATGATTGCTTGTGTTGCAGTCGAAACGTCGTGATAATTTTATTGTTTTTTATTTTTATTATTTCATTGTTTCCCTTCTACGTGACTTTACCGAAAGAACCAAGAATTTGAATCCCTGCAGTCACGAAAGCTTTAAATCAAAATTGTTAATCTTCTTCAGGTTCATATTCTTGGTTCTTTCGGTAAAGTCACGTAGAAGGGAAACAATAAAATAAAAAACTTCTTCAGGTTGTAAGCTCAGAAATCGAGTGAGGTTGCTTCATCGGCTGACTGTGCTCTAAATATTTTCCGTGACGTCACCAAGTGGCAAAGAATGACTTATAACTTCCGTGACTCCAGGAATTCATATTCTTGGTTCTTTCAGTAAAGTCACGTGGATGAAGACCGCTTGAGTTGCGATCGAAACGTCGTGGGTTTTTTGCTTTTATTATTTTCAATTAATTTTTATTTTAAATTCATAATTTGAATTTTATTTTAGGATTTTTATTTTCTGTCTTTGTGACTTTACCGAAATAACCAAGAATATGGCAAAGAATGGGCAATTGTATCTTAAATGGGTTATTTCCGTCGACTTGAAATGTGGGCATGCCTGCAGTTTAATATGTCAATTATTACAAACATCTTCAAGCAAATCAATTTCAATGGACTTCCATTTTCAGTAGCTTTATTATAACATGTAAATTATTTACGAAGATTTTTCAAAGAAGTCCAATTTAAATGGACTTGCCTGGTGTGAATGTCAGTTTATTGCTTTCTTCCTGCTATTGCTTCATCTAATGATTGTATCACATTGTTGTTCCAATTTACATTGAGTCCAGTTACATTATGCAAAATCGTTGTGTTTGTTCTGGCTTATTGTATTAGCTGCAAAAACCTACATTTTATATATTTTCTCTGTTTAAACCCCAATAGCACAAAAGGCCATATAGCTGAGCCGGCGAAGTAGTAAAGCTAATTATTGTTAGCAAATATTAATATAGGAGGTTGTTATAATAATTCGTTAAATGTCTATTTGGATGTAATCAAGGTAAGCTGAGCCTATCACACACCCCACCTCCCGTGCCCTTTCTTCTTGTCACACAAATGTGGAATTTCCACCACTGGATCAACACCACAAATGGAAATTAGCACCACCGGGTGCTTGAGCAATTTAGACACTATGCTGCTAATAGCTAACAGTAGTAAACATTGCACCTTAAATTAATAGGACAATTCGTTTACGAGGGCCATCTTAACGATGCACTGTTCACAAGATGAATGTAACTGATTCACGAGTCTTTTAACAAAAGCTCTAACAGCCATTTATTGCTCGGTTCCTGATTCGTAGTGCCCTTTGATGGTGATTTGTCCATAAATAGGTAGCCAACCTGTCAGTTTACATAATATGAACCCTAACCTATAGTGTGTGTTGTGAAAATACCTTCAAGGCTAAATCTATTTCATTATTTGTTACGTAACTTACCCCCAACTACGCGTTAATCTTGTGCTGAAGACACCGCTGCTTGTGGGAAGCTCATAAGAAGGATGCAGTGTGTGCTTGCCAGTTTAGGTTTGTTGCTGTACATATATAGGATAAAGGTGCAGCCCTGAAATATCTTTCTCACACCACTGCTGGTGGTAGGGCCTATATTAAAGGGAGCTCTAGATGGCATTTTGACTGACCAAAGCCCGTAGCTCGACTTATCCTACCATCCCTCTGGGGTCGACAAAAAATGTGTTAGATTTTGTGAGAAGTGTGCAGTGTTGTTATATTCAGAGACTGACGTCCATCATGAAAAGGTGGCATTTCCACCACTGTGGCATTTGCACCACGGATGTTCTCCAATGCAAGACAGGGTGTGTTGGTCTGTGTTCATGCTGTTAGGTTCCATGCCTGAGGTTTTGACTCTGGAATTATGAGCATAAGAAGATTAGTATTGCACATCTGCTCGGTATAAATCGACCCAATAGATTAATATTCTTTATTCAATCTGGATGGTCATTGCACCATTCCTTCTACTGTCTCAAGAGGGTAGCCAAGATATGACACTGAATTATTATTATTATCTACTATGTATTATGTATGTTGAAGTTATTTTGCACCGTCCGTAGCCAACTGTGCTAATCGGAGGTGCGGGGGAAGGACAACTACTTCTGCTACTTCTGTGTGTTACGCACAATGTATTATCCATTTTAATCATCGTTTCTGAATAGATGTGGTTATTTTCTTAGTTCATATTTACAGCCAATACTATTGTGTAGTAAGTTAAATTGAGAATAGGATAAATAGGAAGGCTGTTGTTAGGAGTGAGGTATTGTATTGAACTGTAAGTATATTTTTATTTTTATCTGTGGCATTGGGGTTACCACCTCACATGATATGAATCTGACAGTGTGATCCCCAGAGCAATTTTGCTAACCATTGGTTTATCCTCATCAATTTTCCATGCACATCTTTTTTTAATGCAATGAATGCATGGAATGATTTACCAAAGGATCATCGATCACTATCAATAATAATTTACTATTTTGCCAAGCATGGCCATGTAGGAGGTCTACTGTCATCGTTCTGTGGATATTCTGACCCTTGCCACGGGAATGTATAACTTCCACCAACGTCTCAATGCCACCAGTGCAGTTGAGTACCGCCTCAATGCTTGTTTGAGTCAGGAGACACGTGGACTTTAGTAGTTATAATATATATAATTAATTATATTATTCTGTGAGTTTTTAGTCAGTGAGGCCTCTGTTGCTTTGGTAGTGTGTGGTTATAATGAGAGTAGTGCAGGTATGAGGAGATACATGAATACGTTAAAAACAAAAACATCATCCTCTTATCACCAATTGCTTGCTCAGCTTCAACTTTATTTCACTATAACCACAGAGTGACCAGAGTACAGTCGATCATGTTAAATTCATTCACCAACCTCTTTTGTTCTGTATTGTACCGATCCTGTGCATTGCATTGTTGTTGAAGAGCATACATTCGATATACGGTAAAACAATAATCCCATTAAAAATATACATTTCATGACTCGCCGATTGTGAGGCAAATCGCTCAATCAATGGCACAAAATCAGAAATGTTTTACTTAAAAAGTTCACCCCCAGCGTTGAATGCATGTACAGTTGTCTGAATGGTCGTAAAAAAAAAGATCCCTGATATTAGATGCACTCAAAAGAATGAAAATGCAATCTGTAATTTCGGTGAAAGTCATTTGCAACCTGATCCCCAGAGATTGCCGGCACACATCGACGTTTATTTGGCGATGCTCCTTCATCTGAGTGAAATGTTAGCATTTATATTCATATAGTGTACGCAGTGCTGGATTAAGCTAGAGCGGGGCCTGCAGCATATGTTATAAAGGGGCCCTAAACAAATAAAAACACATGGAGCAAGTGCAGAATCACTGAACCGGATTTGATAGCTTGAAAGTATTTAGCGCAGGGCCCTTAAAAGTGTGGGGCCCGTAGCTACTACTACATATGTAGCTACTTTTGCTACTAGGACAATCCGGCACTGAGTGTACGCTTTTTCGCATTTTATCAAGAAGGTGCCATTAGTCATACATTTCTTAAAAGATATTACTCGGGAAATTTCCTACATTTTGTAAACTATTTACAACTGTTACCTAGCAAGTTCACCCTACTCGAAAGTCTGTGGAGGGCCGTTCACCTTCTGACTCAACGGTGGAAATTCTACGTCGTTGTAACAGGGGTCATGATTATCGTTGACCTCTCACAACGGTAATATTTATTTTATCAACTCCAGTGAAACGTTGGGCTGAATTAACCTTCACCTGGGATTTGAGTTAGGACACCTGCACGGGCTGCAAGGTGCGTGGAGACGGCAGTGCAGGAATGGGTTCGGTTCGCAGATTTCGTCCACTCATTGGATTGATTCTGTTGATTTAACCTCATTGGAGTGGGATTTAACGAGTTATCCCCTCATATAAGTGAGCCTTTCTCTGGCTACTCTTGTATCCTCCCACATGAAGCCAAATATTCATAAATGACACCGACCAAACACCTCAATGCCAGACCCTACTGATCCTAAAGGCTCGTTGAGGTTAGTAGATATTCTACACTTACACATGCTTCAGCAAAGTATGCGTGCATGCATAAGCAATGTCCTGCATTTGTAACTTACGGGCGTGCAGGATACAGAGGCATGCAAAGGTGTTCCAGAGGCTGCTGCAACACAGGATACCAAAGCTTTGCCAGCACTTGGTGAGTAATACTGCATGGGGTTTCGCACTTGTGCTGTACAGCTCTCCCATGCATGTTTTGGTTGTGCCGCGTGGTTATTCGGCACGTTGTCCACATGCCTGAGACTACTCAATTCACTTCCTGCAGAAGCTCCCAGCATGTGTGGCGAAACGTCGGACATTTTTCCGAACAAACAAGGAACGGCAAAACTACACGAATTACCTCTCTTGAAGCCCTCTCTTTGTGGCTAACAGACCTCGACATTGGCGTTTAGCTCCCAAACATTGTGAAATGCACAAGAATAGAATAGAATTGGTTATTATTCTAAACGTATGTGGATTAAATCTCGCGTATTTATAATGGATGTAGTGATTTCCCCAGGGTCTTGCAACCTCTTAAATATACAAAAACAACTACAGAATACATTAATTCTTGCAGCTTTAAGTTATCATTTTGTCCACGTGATCAAAGATCAACTCTCCAAAAATCTCTGCCTGGCACACTTCACGCTGCTTTGTATATGTTTTTTTTATCCAACTGGACGCTTTTAACTGAACTTAAAATCCCCGTTACTGGGGTTATTTTAAATCACGCCATGAACAGGCGAATAACAACTGTATTGACTCAAAGATAATGATTCAATATGAGGCTTAAACCCAAGCGCAAGTCGCCCCGTGTCCGAGCCACTTTCTTGTGCATCTCGTCCAACGCTGAAGCAGTGGAGTGGAATCCTAATTCCAGTGAGTCTCCCTGCTCAATCAAGCGGTGGGGTGCTACACAGTTGTGTCGGTGGCCTTGAGCCGGTGGTGAAAGTTTCACCGTTCCGATGGCAGGGGTTAGTATTTCCACAGAGCAATGACTGTTAAGCTCCCACACTGATGAAGTCGTTCATGACCATTTTATGGTCGTAGATTATTCTTTGGTAAACCGTTCCACGTATGAATAAAAATAGCATACAAAGGAAAATGGTGTATTGTATTTTAAGCTATTATTACCCGATTAGTTCTGTATTGGATTTCACAAAACAGTTGGCAACGTTGACGTGTCTCATTTCTTCAGATAAGAAGCATTTTGGGGATTTCAGATACAACTCTATGACAAGATCAGTATCGCAGTTGCTGCGAGCCAGATGGCTATTTAGACCAAGAGTCGAAAGAATGGACACGAAATGAGAGATAACACCACATTGGTGGGGTTTGTTACAACAAAACCAACCAATGATCCTTGGACAGAAAATGACCCGCAGCCATCCTGAGAATGACAATGTTCCAATGCTGCAGCTCGCTACACCAGGCCTGTGAATGAGAATAGCAATGTGGCCTGAATGATCGCATGTGTTTGTGACCTTCCTGCAAGGGTAAGATAGTGGTACTTCATGGAATAAGCTGACAGCCACTGTTCTTGATGCAAAACTAAATATTTATCTGGGTTTTTTTTTTGTGTGAGCCAGTATTTTTATTTGTTTTTGTTCAAAATAGAGGTTTTTCGGTTAGACCACGTAAATATAAATGTGTTGTTAAACCCGCTACCACCTGGCATGGCCAATTAGTAAGGTTTGTTATGTAAATAAAACATGCCAATTTGTTACTAGTTCAGCACACCGATGTTTCCAATTTAATCAGATCTTGGAAGCTAAACAGAGTTGGAGCCTGGACAGAGCTTGGATGGGCAACCATCACACAAAACCGCGCTGCAGGGCCATACAGCAGACAGCGAAGTGCAGTGTACCAAAATTCATTGTTATACTATACTCATATGCTCCCAATATTCTCCAACCTGCACTGAGCAGCGTGGTGAAGTATGGTCAAATACTAATGTTGTTTTATGAAGGAATTGCAACATTTGACACTATGATGTCAAGTTTTGATATCCAGTCAAGAAATACGGGAGATGCGAATTTCTAAGATGTGTCTGGGCAATGAAGTATCGTGGGCAGCATTCATTGAACGTGTGATGAATCATCAGCGGAACTGGCGGGGAATAACAGCCACAATGAATCCTCTTGTGTGAGGCTGTGCACTTGAGCCGCACCGAGCGGCCGTTCGTAAATTGTCTGAACGCTCTTGACCTCGAGCGGCCGTGCAGATGTCTAATTTTGACCATCAAAATAGGTCCTGTCTCACAACAGAGCGCAGAGTGTGTGTGCGTCGATACGCCGTGGTGGCGAGATGTTAACTACCTCGCCTTGTATACAGGAAGTCGTCGTTTCGATCCTGACCCTGACATCTTTGGAGGTTGCATGCCTCTCTCCCAAGGTCGCATGGGTTTGTCTCTGGGTCCTCCGGTTTTTCCCCCTCCACATTTAGAGTCAACGTGATTTTAGAGTCTTTGGCTGCTACAAATTTCCACATGATGAGCCACTTTATTGAGCTATAATTTGTGGCTTGGTCGCTTCTGAAAAATAACCATATAGCTCAATGGGCCTGACCTGGTAACAAAAAAAAGTGTTTCCAAACCGCATGCGATGTGTTTTGTGCAGGAGGAGCTGGGCGTGGAGCCTCTCATGTTCATCACGCCATGGTTCCTCACCCTCTTCACATCGCTTCCGTGCTGGGACACGGTGCTGGCCGTGTGGGACCTCATCATGCTTGACGGTGAGCACCTGAATGAGAGAGGCCAGGAAGAGTGGACTGTGTACAAAAACTGGCAATTAAAAATAGCAAAGCCTGATTATTTTTGACATAGTTTAAAGAACAGAACGAGATTTCTGCGAAGCGTGCTTGTGCGTCCGCGTGTTGTGGTCCTGTATTTGAATGAGATGCATGAGAGTCATGGTTTTACTGCAATCCATAAGTTAATCTTGTGTAAAGGCGCAATCTTTCATCATGAGCAATGGGTGGTGCTTCACCTTGTTAGTGCTCCTGAGCTGAACGTGAAAATCACGATTTTCATCAGATGCATCTTCTCTTAAGTTACTATCAATACATTTAATATAATGCCAACAATGATTTTAATCTGTCAATGATTAGGTATATGGATGAAACTTGTCTACGAGCTGTCTCTTTGTCTTGCTGCTGCCTGTTGGTTAGGCGGGTTTGCTTGGTTCTCTGATGGTGACTTAAGACAAGATGACCACAATGCATTTCTTCAGGAAATTATGTTTTTTTTTCGTAATGCCTCAAGGGTGACACCTGTTGTGTTCATACCATGTACAATTCTACACTTTACTATTTGGTTCTTTCGGTAAAGTTACGTAGGTAGAAAAATGAAAATAAAAGAACAAAAGAGTATGGATTCCTGCAGTCACGAAAGCTTCAAATCAAGATTTTCCACTTTGTCGAAACCTTTTGTTATCCGGCCTGCACTAATGTTTCTGTTGTGATGGATTTTTTTTCATCATTTACGTATTTGAATTAATACCATCAAACCCACCAAATAGCTATGACAATGCCAAAAACTCCACTCAAATATTGGACCAAGGCGACTCGTTTACAAACCGAATCGAGAAAGCATGCACCATGCAAAGTGAGTCTATCTCCCCAGAACCATTCAATATCAAAGCATCGATGTCCTGACCATACAAGAAATGCATCTCAGAGATGCGCACCATTCTGCTTAATACCATATTCGTGAATCAACTTTAAATTCACGGTGGCTCAATGATCAAATGAGCTCATTTAACGTTGTGGCTCTGACGCAGCGGTGAATTTTGTAATTTCACATTTCGCTGGCCGGGGCCAACCTCCCCGCATAGCTCAATCACTCAACGTCAGAGCAGAAGGTAATTTAAGAATTTGGGTTTTTTGGGGGGCGGGGCTTTGATGTAAAAGTGTAGTCTAACATTGCGGATTATTTCATGCGCTTTTAAACTACTGCTTTAGAGGAGGTGGAGTACCTTGAAAATTCCCAACAGGAGTTGCACGACTACATAGCACATTGAAGAATTCAATTCTACAATCCAATTGAAAATGTGCAACTGGCCATCTTATTATTATTACTTATCAAAATCTATTACTAACACAACTCAAATGATTTACTCAGCTAATCAGCTTGCTTTTTACACCACAAAAAACCCCAAGCATCTGGGAAGACTGGACCAACAAATATAATATGGAATTTACACCACTGGCCCCTATCCTGCAAATACGATGAGCTTCTGCCTGAGTGCTCGTTTGAGCAGTGATGGCATTTGACTTGACTTTTTACATCAATACGTATAATTTTTAGTGAACATAATTACGTAATGTATCCATCAATGTACATTTCCTTGGAAACAAAAGGGCTAAACACGGTGACATTTCATTGTTTCACACGCGTGCGCCCGTGGGCAAGGCATCTGATAGCATCACTTACCAGCCAAGATCGAAACATTATATTGACGACATTTCAAAGCAGGCGAAGAGAAAAAAAGAGGTCACAGATGTGCGTAGAATGATAAACGAAAGATCAATTCTGGTTATGATTCAGCATTAGGGTAGAATAGCTTCATATTGAAATAGGAGTCACCAATATCGGCATGAATGAGGTTTGGTCAGTGATCTGATTGAAACAGAAAACAACATTCACAGGGGCTATTTACAAAAAGTGACGCTCGTGAAACCGTGAATTTCACTTTATTCATTGTGATATTTGTAATCGTTTATTGTGCAGGCATCATTTACACTTGATGCATCTGTTTTTTGTTGCATACAGCCAGCTGATATACTGCATTATTCCAAAAGAGAATGGGTAATAGGCTATTGCGATATGGCTATTGTAATTCTAACAGCCTTGTGACTGGCCTCCCTGAAGTTTATTTATGCAAAACTACCCCATCGAAATACTGCTGTGATCTGGAAGCCGCTCGAAGCTGCTCACCAATCAACTCTCATTCCACACAATTATTGGTTACCAGTCAGTTGTGGATTGCTTTCCAGATTGCTTGTGTATGAGCTGGGTGGGAGCGCTGGGGGAATCGTGCTATGATTGCCTTGTCTTAGAGTACTGAGCCAAAATCATTGACACTCCTAGTTTCGAAACTTGGGCCCTACAGAAGGTTTAAGGCATGCTTAAAATTGTAGCATGTTCAATGGTTACGAATGGCTTTTACATACAACATTTGCGTGAGTCTGGGTTTTCATCTATCGTCTGTTTTAGCTTTCAGGAATATCATTATTATTATTATTGTGACGTGCTATTTACTTTATATATCAGCTCCAAGGGATGTGCTGCCGTCGTGTTATGATTCTGGACTTGAAAATCAGAACACATTTCCTTAAATGCCTGGCTACCCAGCAATGTAGATGTGTCTACAGTGCTGCAGTAAGTTCAAATTGCAAGTCACGTGTGGTGTGGCAAGGTGTGCGCACTGCCATCTATGCGAAGATGTCTGGCGAGCATGGACGAGCAGGTCAAGCGTCTTTTAAGGGCAGTGTTGTGGGAGTTCCCTTCAGCGAAGGCCCTTCCGCCAGCAGTGGCATGGGTGAGAAATTGCAAGGCTGCGCCTTTATCTGTCACACGTGATGCTGTGGCGGCTCAAAAGCAACAGGTTACAGCCTCGGGTCGTGGTGGTTGACTCGGCCGGTCGTCAATCCTTCCAGGACAGAGGATACGAGAGCCACTCAGTGGGGATGTCAGCAAGGTCTGCGTTTCTTATTTTGCTGCTTGAGCTGCTTGAGCCGCAAAATAAGAAACACTTTTTGCATACACTTCATATGATGGACGGACGTATTAAAAAAAAAAGGTCCATGTCCTGTGCCTATGAAACAATGAATAGCTCTGATGAATCTGTGTTACGTTCTACAAAGGTCCACTTGAAGTGCAGTGCGCTCGCTCCACCAAGGTTCCAAGGCTTTAATCTCCACCTGGAAGAACTCCCTGTCTCGCTCCTCAAACCACTCGTTGACAGCGCACATCGCTGCATTCTCTCACCAGGGAGGGGCTTTCACAGAGAGTGCTTCTCTAGCTGTGGAGACGTGTGTATCGGTAACACTCAGAAGTCACCCGACTTTTTTGTTTGTTAGTCCATTAAGGCACTTAATTATAAATATTTGTAAAAGATGTTCGATTACTGTGATGTAATTACCAAATTCCAATCAATATGTTCGTCAATTAAATTGAATACATGGTTGCCCTTTGCTGTAACACCACTGCGCCTACGTCAGACCACAACCGTTATGATTACCCCTCATTTGAAGGGAATTTCAAGTCCAATACTGAGAATAAAAAAAACTACAATTTGAAATACATTATACAGTGTCTAATATTGTTTGAACTCTTCAATCACTCAACTTCAAAGAACGAAGGCAGCTACCACAGAATATTTGTTTTAATCTGATGCACAGCCTTGACAGATTAGCACCTTTCGCTGTTAAAGTATAAAATTGCGTTGACACTTTTCGGCCTGCTCTAGATTTCACGGCCGAGGTGTGTTCTCAGAATTTGAGAAAACTCACCCTACCTGTAAATGCCTTATCTCCATTTACAGGGGCGTGGTGAGCACCGATGGACGATGGAGAGCCATCCAGTGTTGCGTGCAGACTGTTGGCTTAGCAGCGCTGACATTACGCGGACGTTCTGAAGGTTGTCCAACCTTGCCAGGTGTCTCTCAGTGTGTAAAACTTACCATTTATTAAAAGGCAATGTTTTGACAAAGCGTATAAACCCCGACCCCTATTAATGTCTCATGGCTTGAAGAACGCCCGTACCTTATTACCAACTTATTCTATGCGTGTGTAGATACAAGCAGAGTGGTAAAGGGCAGTGAGTGAACTGTAATCAGGTTAATCTATTTAGGTATCTACAAGGATAATGTCACCGTATGACTCCGATTTCACTGTGTGAGCAGATATACTTAATTTATCATGTACTGGTTGACCACATTTTATAACTGTGGTTGTCATACCACTATTACAACATAATCCATGCCTCGGGGCTTTATTGGCTGGCTGCTGGCTGGGCTTCATGGCTTCGGGCCATTGCCACCGAAAAGGCAGAAGGAGTTTGGAAGACGTATATTAGATAGCGACAAACATGATAAATCAAGCATAGCAACAAATACCATTTCATAGAAGAGGTGGCAGTAACGAATACACGAGACTGGCACAGTTAATTTAAAATTGCTCTTAACTGGATAGGGCAGCTGCCTTTTATATCCCACTGTAGAGTAATAGGTTCGCTGCTAATTTTTTTTTCATACAAATATATAATAATCAGAATGTAAACTTTGCAAGTTATTTTGTCAGGTGATTGGATTGTACATCGTGCTGCACCATCTAGTCATAACACAGTGCTGTTAGTTATGAAATGAAAATCTGCTCAAAAATATATTTTTAAAATATCCTACTTTTTAAATACTGATAATGGATATTACATTGCTTCTGTCAAACCTCAAACAAGCAGCAATTATAAAGTAATGCTACATGGAACTATATATGCAGATTGTTGGTATAGGTTGTATTAATATTTATATTGTAGTATTGTTGTCGAGAGTAATAGCATTAAGTGAAGCAGTCTCTTTAAATCCAAATCAGCAGAGCCTCAAGCTAGTATCGTGAAGTGATCTATCAAGGAATGGACCTGAATGGTGATACTGTAGAACTTCTTCTTGACTCACTACTGGAGTCACCTGACCTGGTCTTTCTCTCTCTCTCCTACCACCAGACAGCACTCCTCC